GAAAGGGGGGAAGGGGGAAAAAGGAGAAAAAATGGGGAGGAAAGGGGGGGAAAAGGGGAGGAAGGGGGAAAAAAGGGGAGGAAAGGGGAAAAGGGGGGGGGAGGGAATAAAGGGGCGGAGAGGAAATAAGGGGGGGAGAGGGAATAAAGGGAGGAGAGAGGAAAAAAGAGGAAAGTGGAAAAAAGGGAAAGGGGGAAAAAAGGGAGAAAGGACAAAGAAAGGAGAAAGGGGAAAAAAGGGGGCAAAGGACAAAAAAGGGGAAAGGGGGAAAAAAAGGGAAAGGGAAAAAAAAAGGGGAAGCTGTTCTGTCCCAGTGCCAAGCAATTTCCTGCTAAAACGAGTGGAGAAAGTTGTGCCTCGGCCCCACCTGGTGGACAAAGCTCCAGGGATGGGAATGCACAAGGAAAGCGCTGCAGGTGACCCAACCTCCTGCATAAGATTCCAGGTGAGGGAGAGACAACTCACTCCCAAACATCCATCAGCTGCCCAGCTCCCGCCGGGCTGCTCCGCTCAGCGGGTGGAAAGGGCTTTCCTCACCCCTTATTTCACGCTACAAAAATTCTTGGGATCATTTCAAGTATTTTAGATCAAGGACTGACGCCCCAAATTCCATTTGCCGCTTTGTAAGCTGCACCAGGACATTCAGCTGGGAATTCTCTCATCTTCCCCTGCAGTGACCGGCTCAGCCGGGAAATAACCTGAGCTCACTCGAAGCCTTTTCAGCTCATCCAATCCCGCGGGTTACAACTGAATTGTTCCCTCTGGGTGCTTCTTTCACGGGGAATTTCCAGGGAGCGGGTTGTAAACCCCCCAAAATGCCTTACGGGCACCTACAGCACCCGGACTGACCTCTAACAGCTGGATTTTCGGATAAACACCCCAACTTTCCTTCTGGAGGCACATAAACAACAAAGCGAGGGGAACAGCGTCGCAGACCAACCCCGCAGCTCTCTCCGAGCCATTCCCTCCTCCACAGGCGGGACTGAGAAGGCACAAGGGCAAATTGAGGGCAATAACGCCAATATCGGTAAACTCGGGGTAAAATAACGCCAACACTGGCAAAAACGGCCTTTCCGCACGATTTCACAGCCCCGGCCCCGCAGCAGCGCCCCGGGCAGCGGGAGCACACCGACAGCGCTCGGAGCAGCCGCTCAGCTCCGCACCGGGCAGCGCGCGGCACCGGGAACATTCCGTTCCCGAGGACACCGGGACAGGGAGGGAAGGGGCCCGTCCCGAGCCGTCCCGCGCCCACGACCTCCTTCTCCGACGCCTTCTCGCCGACTCCCAGCAGCCCGTAGAGGTCCAGCTCCAGCAGGTCCTTATCGACCGCCATCTCCGCGCTCCCCGGTGCCGGTCCCGGTGCTGTTCGTTCCCTTTCCCGGTGCCGCGGCCGGGCCGCGCCGCTCGCTGGGAAGCGTAGTCCCCAAGCGCTGTCGCGCCGCGCGCCGCCCCCGCAGACGGACTACAATTACCGTGATGCATCGCGCGCCTCCACGGAAGAGCGCGCCGGACAGGCGCCGCGCGCTGCGGGGTGCGCCGGGTGTTGTAGTTTCTTTGCGGCCCCTGTGAGCGGGGAAAGGCGGGAGGAAAACTACAACTCCCGTCGGGCTGTGCGCGAGAGCCGGCGAGCCCTTCACAGCGAGTTCATCGAGAAAAGCTCGTCTGGGACGTGGAGTGCGAACGTCCCCCCCGGCGCTGCCGAGCCCACCGCTGGCCGTGTCCCCAAGTGCACAGACACATCCACGCGTTAGATCCCTCCAGGGGTGGTGACTCCATCGCTTCTCCGGGCAACCCGTGCCAGTGCGGGGTGCTGCGAGCCCAACTACAGCCCGTTCCCAAAAAGCATCCATCTCAGCCCAAGGCACGACTCCTTGGGAAATTCCTCTTGTCTTCGTATTGACCTAAGATGCCTTCCTTTTTCTCCACACAGCTCTGAGTAGGAAGCACTAGTCTATCCAATTATTCCATTACATAGGAGATGGAAGTTTTTTCGGTCTTTATTTGATTATTGTAGAAGGATTTGTGTCCTTGCTGGCTGAAGGACAAAGAGCCTTCAGACCATTTATTTTAATCAGCAATAGTAACAGATCTGAGATCATGAAGAAAACTGGGTAAATGTAAATCCAGCAAAGTGGGTGTTTGAGAGATGTTTTCTAACCTAATAGTGCAATGAAACCCAAGAATTCCTGGTCTGTCTCCATGGAGCTTCGCCCAAGGAGAGCAGGAGCCTTGCTGGTCATAGACTCATAGAATGGTTTGTGTTCAAAGGAACCTTAAAGCCTGTTCGGTCCCATGGGTAGGGACACCTTCCACTATCTCAGTTTGCTCAAGCCCTGTCCAACCTGGCCTTGGACACCTCCAGGGATGGGGCAGCTGCAGCTTCTCTGGGAAATCCATTCCAGTGCTTCAGCACCCTCACAGGAAAGAATTTGTTCCCAGTATCCCATCTTAACCCCACCCTCTGGCAGTGGGAAGCCATTCCCCCTTGTCCAGTGGCTGCAGTTCCTGATGAGTCGCAGCCCTGGGTGTGCTGAGGGCACCTCTGGCCATCGTGGTGCCACCTCGGGGACCTCCCTCTGAGGCTCCATTCTGGAGTCCCCTCCTGTGACACCATCTCGCCCTCCAAGGCACAAAGTTTATCTGCAGACACGTGTCCGCAAACCCAGCCACAGCACCTTGGCCCTTCGGGGCTGTCCCTTTGTGACACGGGCATGTGACAGGGCCGACCTCACCCATGACACCTTGACGTGGGCTGCGTCCCAGCATTCCATGAAATCAGGAATGGGGGCACGGATCTGCAATCAATTCCATGGTGAGACCGGTGGGCGGCAGGCCCCGTGTGACAACACCGCTGCAGAGGTGTGGGACGGCTCCGAAGGGACAAGGCGCTGTGGGATTTTTTGGGGGGACACATGTCTGCAGAGAACCTTTGTGTCTCTTGCAGGGCGAGATGTCATCTCCAGAGCCGGGCACCTCTACTGCCAGCACCAGCCAGGAGCCACGGGATGGCAGCGGGGAGAACCCCGCCTGCCCGGCGTGCCAGGACATCGACACCAAGTGCTCCAGCTTGTGCTGGCACTGCTTCTGCGGCTTCTGCCTGGGGGATTGGAACCTCAGCGACGCCGCGTGCCCCCAGTGCCAGCGGCCCATCCGCCACACGTACCCCCAGCACGTGGCCCTGTACCACGAGGTGCAGGACCAGGTGTATGACAGCAAGCAGAGGCGGCTCGGCCACCCGGAGCAAGGCGCGTCGAGCTGCTCAAGACGCAGTGGCAGCAGCCACGATGAGACCCCAGAGCAGGGACGAAGGAGGTCCTTGAGGTGGCACCGTGATGGCCACCAGTGGTCTCGGCACGCCCAAGGCAGCAGCTCCTTGAGAAGGAGGAGGCGTCAGCGGAGAAGGAGGAGGCATCAGTGGAGAAGGGATCGGGACAATGTGCCCGCCGAGGGACGAGCTCCAGGGTCTGAACAGGACACCTCAGGCTCCTCGTGGGGGAGGCGATTCCGGCGCAGGTCCCACATGCCACGGAGCCAAGATCAGCAGGAACGGGCACGGGGCCGCCGCAGCAGACAGACGTGGCAGAGGAGGAACAGGGAGCATTCCCGCCGCTGGAACAGGCAATGGAGCAGGTCCCGCAGGCAACGCCGGAACACCCAGACATCATCCTCAGGAATGGAGCCCCACGACGATTCCGCGAGGCAGAGGCGTTGGAGGAGCAGGAATGCTGGCGAGCAACGAGCTCCAAGGCACCAACAGGACATCCCAGACTCCTAAGGGAGGAACCAGCACCAGTGCAGGACCCAGAGCCATGCAGGGCACAGGACCCAATAGCCCACCCTCCCAAGAGGGGAAAGACCACACTCAGTGCTGGCACAGGACAGCCCAGAGTGTCCAGCCAGCCTTCTGTGATCTCCCAGCATGGAGCCACCAGATCCTCTCTGGGTATCCCTCGCCGGGGTTTGAGTCCCTCCGAATAAACAAATGTCACTTTAGCCAGCACTTCCTTTATTTCCCTTTGTGCTTTTTGCTGTCTCAGGAGCCTCCACAGATATTTTGGAGCACCCCAGGCCGTGGGGGTGCCTTGGGTTGCCCTCACGAGCCCCATCCTTTCCCTCTCAGTGCTCCCTCCAGCCTCATCATGTGCCTCTGTGGGTCAAGGAAGGAGCAGGGGGGCTCCTCACATCCCCACAGGCTCTTCCCCTTTCTGTGCCCCAGGATTCCATGGCTGAATTTGATTTATTTGGAAATTTTTATTTTTTTTTTGCTTTTCCTCTAGTTTTATCCAGGGAAACTTTGCTGGGAAAAGCTGGAACCCCTTAGCATTTTTTCAGCAGAGCTATGCCTTGGTACAGGAACATTTTCCACAAAAAAAGGTGTAGCTGATACCATTCAGTGCTGGAGGTGCCCGAGCCCTGCCCCAGGGCCAAAACTTGCCCTTCACTTCCCTCCCAGCTGTCACCCAGTCCCTGTCCGTAAACACCAGCCTTTGGAATCACCCCAATAACTGGCACTGTCCCATTTATCCCTCACTTGGGATATCAGTGTAGTTCATAATCTCCCTAAATGCATGTTCAGCTTGTGGGACATGGATTTTGCCAATGGATACGTTTTCTGCTGGCTGGAAGGAGGCTGATCACACTGGATCCCTCTTGCACTGCTAGAAATAATTGGGAACAAAAGCCATAAAATTCAACAAATGGTGAAAAACAGAAGCTGGGGCTCACAGGGCTCAGTGCTGAGCTCTGGAGCTTGTATTCCAAGGTGGGCAAGGATCCTGGATGTCCACATCATGCTCTGGTAGAGCCACTCCTTTCCTTGAGTGAATTTATTTTTCTTCCACATAAACCTGCTTCAAATAGATCTGGAGTTGACCCATTTTCCCAGATTATCCTCAAAGGTGGGCTCTTGCTACCAGAGACTCCTGGCAAACACACACCATGTCCGGTGGGAGAAGTGAGGAGCGCTGGGCACAGGAGGGGGCCATGCACAGGAGCAGAACTATCCTGGTAATTTTTCCCTGGATTTACTTTTCTCATTAAATCCCAAACTTCCCCTTTGGTGTAAGCTGAACAGAGCTGTCCTGTTTAGTTTTCCCTGGATTTACTTTTTTTCACTCAGTACAAAACTTCCCATCGGGTATAAGCTGATGTTTGTTTATCTCCCGGAAAATCCACTCCCTGGCCCAGGCAGCCTCTCTGAGCACCTTGCCAGGGATCTGGAAATGCTGGATGTGTCCACCTAAACACACACAAACATTTCAATGGGAAAACCCTGGAAAGATACAGGTGAGCATTCATTGTGGATGGATGGTGGTGGCAGAGTCATATTGCTGCTATTTTTGGATAACAGCAAGTAAGAAAACTCAAACAATTTCTCCTGAAATAAAAAAAAACAAACAACAAAATAAAGGTTCTTGGAAAAGTGCAAACAGTCTGGAAGTGTCAGGGAAGAGCCTGTGGCCAGCGCTGCTCTCCGAGGTCACCGTCCAGGAGCTGCCCAGGCTGGATTCAGGAGGTCTTTACAAACACGGGCACCTCGGCCAGGCTGGCAGAGTAATTCCTGAGGATGGTGCCTCCATCAAACACACGGGCAGAGTTGGTGTCCAGCCAGAGGTGCCCTTCTCCAGGCAGGAAGACATCCCTCCACGTTTGTCCTTTTTCTGTTATCGGAGCAACCAGGACCTGCAGTGAAAAAAAAAAAGAAAGAAAAAAAGAATTTTAGCAGGTGGTGGATTGGGCGGGATGTACGTGTGGGGATGAGATGGTCACCAGGGAATCATGGAATGGTTTGACTTGGAAGGGACCTTAAAGTCCATCTCATTCCACCCCCTGTCATGGGCAGGGACACCTTCCACTATCCCAGGTTGTTCCAAGTCCCGTCCAACCTGGCCTTAAAACTATTTTCCCTTGTTTTATGGGAAAAGCAGTATCCAGCATTCTGAGACTATTTATTCCTGCTAAATCATTTCACTCCCAAAGCTGAAAGAGGTTTCCAGGGCCCTGAATAAGAGTTCTGTGAAGAAAGCCAAGCTTTTCCGAAAAGGAAAAACCCCAAACCCACATAAACCAGCTGCTTTGGCTTGGATTTAAATCTGCTTGACTACGAAGCTCTGGTTTGTGTTTCGGCAGAGCTGGGCTCACAGGGTGGTGCAGAATTCCCACCTCATCTCCAATGAGAAATTCATCCTCTATGGTGAACGCGGTTGGATCCGTGGGGCTGAGCCACCAGGCTGGACGGAAGATGGGGTGTCCCAAACTCTGCCACTCCTCGCTGTATTTTAGGAGGAGCGGCACCACAAAGTCCCGGTGCCTCTGGATGCATTGGCGGGTCAGATTCAGGACCTGCAGGGTCAGAGGGAAGTCCGTGAGGAGTCTGACATCCAGGAAACAGCAAAGCAGGCAGGGAAA